CCCGGTAAAAAAAAAGACACAGCAACAGCTCCCTCTGTCGGAAATCAGCAGCCTACCAACTTCACCAATTAGCAAGTTCGAATAGAACACGGTGGGGGGGGGGGTGAATTCAAGCGATATCTAGTCTAGAGTAAGGAGAGAAAGGCCGCAGTTTACTCAGTAGTGGAAAAGCAGACGATGCCAGCACTCTAGACTATTGAAAACACTAAACTGCATCAAGTTTGAAGTTGCGAACCACACCCAAATGAAGAATTAGGAGAAGCACGGAGGAGGGAGGGGAAAAACACACTTTTGAGCACACACACACAAGGGGGAAAGTTGCGCTGCACATGGGGATAAAAAATCAGACTAAACAGCCACTCTATATTACTCAAACACTACACTACACCAAGATATGAGTTGCGATTCACACCCAAGTGAAAGAACAAGTGAAAGATGAAGATTGGGAGAGAAAATCACAAATAGGAGCTCACACACACTAGGGGGAGAGTTGCGATTCACATGGGAGAGGTAGAATAGGAAAAACACACACACTACAGTACTCAAACACTACACTAAACCAAAATATGAATTGCGATTCACACCCAAGTGAGTGGACAAGTGAAAGATGAAGAATGAGAGAGAAAATCACTCACATGAGCTCACATACACAAGGGGGAAAGTTGCGATTCAAGGGGGAAAGTTGCGATTCACATGGGAGAGGTAGAATAGGCAAAACACGCACACTACACTACTCACACACTACACTACACCAAGATATGAGTTGCGATTCACACCCAAGTGAGAGGACAAGTGAAAGATGAAGAATGAGAGAGAAATCACTCACATGGGCTCACATACACAAGGGGGAAAGTTGCGATTCACATGGGAGAGATAAAATAGACAAAACACACACACTACACTACTCAAACACTACTCTACACCAAGATATGTGTTGCGATTCACCCCCAAGTAGTAGAACAAGTGAAAGATGAAGAATGGGAGAGAAAATCACTCACATGGGCTCACATACACAAGGGGGAAAGTTGCAATTCACATGGGAGAGATAAAATGGACAAAACACACACACTACACTACTCAAACACTACTCTACACCAAGATATGAGTTGCGATTCATCCCCAAGTGGTAGAACAAGTGAAAGATGAAGAANAGTGGTAGAACAAGTGAAAGATGAAGAATGAGAGAGAAAATCACTCACATGGGCTCACATACACAAGGGGGAAAGTTGCGATTCACATGGGAGAGATAAAATAGACGAAACACACACACTACACTACTCAAACACTACTTTACACCAAGATACGAGTTGCGATTCAACCCCAAGTGGTAGAACAAGTCAAAGATGAAGAATGGGAGAGAAAATCACTCACATGGGCTCAGATACACAAGGGGGAAAGTTGTGATTCACATGGGAGAGATAAAATAGACAAAACACACACACTACATTACTCAAACACTACTCTACACCAAGATATGAGTTGCGATTCACCCCCAAGTGGTACAACAAGTGAAAGATGAAGAATGGGAGAGAAAATCACTCACATGGGCTCACATACACAAGGGGGAAAGTTGCGATTCGCATGGGAGAGATAAAATAGACAAAACACACACACTACACTACACACACACTACACTACTCGAACACTACTCTACACCAAGATATGAGTTGCGATTCATCCCCAAGTGGAAGAACAAGTGAAAGATGAAGAATGAGAGAGAAAATCACTCACATGGGCTCATATACACAAGGGGGAAAGTTACGAGTCACATGGGGGAGGTAGAATAAACAAAACACATACATTACACTACTCACACACTACACTACACCAAGATATGAGTTGCGATTCACACCCAAGTGAGAGGACAAGTGAAAGATCAAGAATGGGAGAGAAAATCACTTACATGGGCTCACATACACAAGGGGGAAAGTTGCGATTCACATGGGAGAGGTAGAATAGACAAAACACCCACATTACACCACTCAAACACTACACTACACCAAGATATGAGTTGCGATTCACACCCAAGTGAAAGAACAAGTGAAAGATGAAGATTGGGAGAGAAAATCACAAGTATGGGCTCACATACACGAGGGGGAAAGTTGCGATTCACATGGGAGAGGTAGAATAGACAAAACACACACATTACACTACGCAAACTCTTCACTACACCAAGATATGAGTTGCGATTCATCCCCAAGTGGTAGAACAAGTGAAAGATGAAGAACGGGAGAGAAAATCACTCACATGAGTTCACATACACAAAGAGGAAAGTTGCGATTCACATGGGAGTGAAAAAATAGACAAAACATGCACTTCACATCACTCAAACACTAGTTGGGATCAACATAGGAGTTACGATTCACACCCAAGTAAAAAAACAAGTAGAACATGGAGAATATGAGAGAAAATCACAAGTTTGAGCTCACATACACTAGGGAGAGAGTTGGGATTCACATGGGAGTGAAGAAATAGACAAAACATGCACTTCATATCACTCAAACACTAGTTGACATCAACATAGGAGTTGCGATTCACACCCAAGTAGAAAAACAAGTAGGACATGGAGAATATGAGAGAAAATCACAAGTTTGAGCTCACATGCACTAGGGAGAGAGTTG